TGGGCGGTGGCGTGTTTGTTTTTTTGCTGTTTGGGCGGGGGTCGTGTTTTTTGTTTTTGCTGTTTGGGCCGGGTGCGTGTTCTTGTTTTTGTTGTTTAGGCGGGTGGCGTGTTGTTTTTTTTTGCTGTTTGGGCGGGGGACGGGAGTTCACTCACTTACCGGTCTGCCTGGCTTCTCTTCAAGCGACCAAAAAAGACCAAACAGCAAAAAAACAAAAAAAACACGGGTTCCTTTGGCCGGTGAATACGTATCACTGAGTAGACGACCGCATGTCACATGATGAGGGAGAGCGCTGTAACGAACGCATAGCGGGTGAGGCCGAACGCTGTTCATGCCGTTACGGACATGGGTGCCAACGGGCCGGAGCGACCAGAACTCAGCTTCGGGCAGGGCTGTATATGCGGCCCTTACGCCATGTATCCGGGGACCTCGTGCAAGCTCGAACGTTAAGTGCTCCGCTCTACTCCCTGAGCTATATAATCTTCCCGAAAGAATGAACCTGAACCCTGAACCTAAGACTTTAGTCCCCCCCCGCAGTAGATAGAATATGGCTTTGGGTGTATTATAGTAAGACCCCCATCTACCCCATATTCTATCTACTTAACGGGGACTATAAACCTAATTCCCTACAAGCCCGTCCTTAACAACGATGCCACAGATTGTGGTGCCGGACTTCATGGCGGTGGGCGGCTTGATTCCTGCCTGAGGGCACAGGGACCGCGCCGTGGTTTAAGGTATGGGGATCATATAGGGCAGTATATAGGGATAATGGAAAACAAAATGGAAGCTAATAAAATTGGATTATATGGGGTTTCTCAAGAACCCTAAACCCTAATCCCTTCCTTTTTGCAATCAAGACCGCATAAATTTGGGCGGTCTACGGGGGACCCTAACTTGGAGTGAGCAAAATCCAAATCTGGCTTCATGCCCAAAGGATTTTTCGACATAATCACCTCAGCTTAGTACAGTGTCACCTCAGTTTAGTACACCGTCGTAAAACTCCCGATGTATAAGATACGGGTACATAGTGTCGTGCAAGATCTTGTGCTCACCGGAGTACTGCCTGATCCACTTCAAGGAAAATTGCTCATCTTAGGCTTGCTCAGATTCTGAATCACGTGAAAAGTCAGGAAACGCAGCCCTAAGAAAGCCGACTTGCCTGAGCTGCCAAGTACGCATTTCTCTTGCAATTCCTCAGCTGCGCAGCATTCGGTCTTTGACGGGTTGAAATTGGAGTGCCTGGGCCATAGGGTGTAATAATGTCAAACCTTATACTTACACGGGGTCATTGGCTTTGAGTCACGGCAGGTACAGTGGCTCTTACAATGAGAATAGAGAGGCTCTACGCTTTGGTAAGAGTCCCAGGACGTGGCGTCCCAGACCACCTCACAGTAGAAGGGCCGTCACGCATCTCATCATTCAACCAAAAACCTTCCCAAGTGGAGCTCTAGGAATGTAAAGAACTAGAAAAAGCCACGCATAGAGGCCTTGAACTGAGGTTCTCAAAGCTGAACCCGCCACGGTGGGACTGAAGCACGTCGACGTAGTCCTGCGGCTCCTCTACCTGCACCATGACCTTCACTTGGGTGTGCGTGAGAGGGTGTGTAAATTGGCTTCACCTTACTTGGTCATTCCTTGTTACAGACACACACACACAGAAAGCTGATGAAATGCGTCCGGGCGACTTTCAAGCAGCCAACTCTATGTGAGATCCTGTTCCTCAACTAACAATGCTTGAGCCTGTATGCCACATCGACATGGGCGCGGTCCTTTGCGAGCAAACCGAACAAGAACAAGCAACACAAACGGGTTGCGCTCCAGCGTGCGTATCAACTGCTCTTAAACCATACTAGCGATTCAAGTATACTCTACTGGGCTGCTGTTAAGGAACATAAACTAAGTTACCGTAATACGGGTATATATAGTAGATAGCAGGGTCTCCTTATTATTGTAACTTAATGTAAGCTCCTTAACAGCAGCGCAGTTTAAGGCACATTAAGTCGTTTGGGGTATAAGGGCGACCCTCTGAACTCCTGCACAGAGTCATTGAAGTCTTGTGGTAGGGACGCGGTCATCCTCCCCTTAAAGTAACTGTCGCCGAAGGAGTCTTTTTCAGGGGTTACTATTGCCTATGGTGGTAGCTGCTACTGTTACTGCAAGGGGGAAGGAGTTATTTCTGCACACTTACCACCGCTGGGGGCACGGGGTTCTCTCGAGTCCTGAGCATGAAAGGGCTTACACAATCCCCTACCAAAATCAAACGCCACCCCTAATAGTAACTTTTCCCCATAAGAGCCTCGTACATTGGAGGGGCATTTTTTACGTTGGGGGTCAGGCGGTATTTAATATGAGCCCTAAACAGTAAACCATAGATAATACAATTGTTTACACTTGCTTTGCCGTTCCCCTGTACACCCCTCTATAGCCGGTTCTTTTTGGCTGGGACATATTTGACAATATTTAATTAAGGAGCCAAATAAACCAAATGTGCGTGGCTTCGTAGGGGTTATTCCAGATTTTATTCAACAGATATATGCATATATGTTTATATAGGTATATATTCGCAAGAATGTCCCAGTTGGGGAGGGCTTTAACACTAGTACGGATGGATTACTGCACTTCAGGCTCAAAAACTTGTACCTAGAATTGGCCAGGAGCTGTTCAGGGTTTGGCATTTAGGCTAACTCTGCCAAGCTGTAGCTATGCAACTTCAACACCAGTCATGTGAGCCATAGTATAAACTCCTAGTATCCCCCTTAATAACCCCTATAGTACTCCCCTATATCTTCCTCCATATAATCCCCCTTTAAGGAGTTTAGACTACAGCTCATGTGTTCCCACTGTGGCCACTGCCAGACGCTCCCTCAACAGCTTTCTGCCCCTTGAGGAACCTTAGACCCTCAACAACCAATATGATGGAGCATAACCTCTCTGCAGGGCACCTGAATCTTTTCACCTGGAGCTTGAAGTTTTTGCAAACATTCTACACAGATTTTGTTGGCGAATGGAAAATGGAAACAACTTTTTCGCGTTTGGGTTGATTATACCTCAAGAATGGAGAGGCTTCTTGCGCACGCCCGACAGGCCATGTGAACCCTGACCCCTCAAGCCGAACTTTGCAAGGAAGCCAGGAATACACTTGCGACCAGGCAGCTGTCAGCTTTTTCCGGTACGCGGCAGGTTCTTGCCCGTCCTGCATGGCAGGAGGAAGCCGCTACAATGAGCAGGAACACAGGACATGCAGCATCGTAAGTAGAATATATATATAGTAAAGATGGTAATGATGGAAGAAAACGACGCATAAGTTCAAGTCAAGTAGGATAAGGGGAGCAGGATGAAGCTCAGCAACAATGAATTGAAGTACGAGTTTCAGTATTGCGGCTCTGGCGGTGTCAGCCAGACATGTGCAGTAGCAGATGCTGCCTGTAGCAGAAATAGCAACACAGACGGTTTGGCTTGTGGAGCATAAGTATACACTCGCGATGCTAAGATCGGAGCGTTCATCATGGAGTGCTGGACATGCACTCTGTTGATATGCTGACGTTTTAGTTTGCGCGTCGCTGCGCTCCCAGGACCATTGTAATCCCGCTTTGGCGGCACGCTGCCCGCCTTTTTATTGCTAAAACTAGAAATACCCAAACCCAAAATCCAATTTCGGAAGCAGGAATTTGCCACCTCTGTCCAAGAAATCAAACGTCCTTGGGTACAAACAAAGGAAACCTTCCAGCTGAAATCCTGTTACACCTACATGGCTCTCCACAAAGGCTGCCCTTTCACCAAGATGAACGTCAGAATCACATTGGATAGGTTCCCACACACCTCCTGATAAACGTTCCTACCATTACGACCATTGCTGTTGCTCCTCCTCCTCCTCGTACCACGACGAATAATAAAAAGAAGAAATCATAATAACTGGTCTCCAAATCCCTGCCAAGTCCTGCCCAGGCAGCTTTCCAAAGACGAGCTTGTTCCACGTCTCCACTAACCTTGCCATGAGCTCAACGTTGTTTTGATGTTTCAAGAAAACTGAGCGCCAGCATTAACTATGATCATCCTCGTGTTCGTAGTTTCGTTCCTGGACGTATTCTACCTGTTCCGGCTGTATTCATCTGCAGACTTACGAGAAATCATTCTAGGGCGCAAGGAGATCCGGGCTGAGGCGTGGAGGTAAAGACCCTCACTGCAAGGGCAACATACCAAAACTGTTACGCCTTTGTGCACCCCCGAGTACTATAACTCTTAATATCACGGCTTGCACAAGGTTTGGGAGGCCGAATCTCGTGACCAATGACTCCGGTCCCTACACCTTACCACTGCATAAGCCAGAACCCCTAAAACCTAGTGCGGGAAAGCTCCAGAGCCTCTCAACTCTGCAGCTCTCCTACCCTGCACCTTTCACCAGAACCCCATATACATATCTTCAAACCCTGAATCCCAAATCCGAGATTCAAGACCCGAACCCCCTGAACACAAGACCCCAAACTGTAAACCCTAAACCCAAGATCCATTGTCTATCTCACGCGGTTATCGCCCCGGTCCCACAGCTCCGTAGAACTGGGCTTGGGGGTTGCAAAAGGTAGTAGGGTGTAGGGTTTGGGGGCTTAGGGTATATATGGTAGTTTCCCAAAATGGGGGAACCTGACTATGACCGCAATATACTGTGATCCTCATGATGGGGGCCCCCAAAAACGGACCCCTGATTTTGGGAAATTCCCATATTCGGTTTACGGTATCAGGCTTGGGGCTGGGATGCAGGTCTCGGAGCGTAGGATTGTGGAAGGTTAGTCATCTAAGCTCTGGACAATTCCTTGTTGCACTTCTCGCTCTTCAGGAAGGTGAGAGCCTGCGAATGAAGCTCATGGAAGGGGAATATGCATGTTCCCTTCTAGAATTCTGGACTGTGTTTTCCAGACTCGTGCGCACGAAAGGCCTGACCATGAACCCTAAACCCGCCATCCCATAGGCGTCTCTGATTTTGTGAACCCCGACGACGTTCTCGTCGTACGAATCGCGAAAACCTGAGATTAAGCTAATTTGAGACCGTCTTCTGGATAAACCACTGCTTGGGGTAGTTTTTCCTATTATACTATAGTAGTTTCCATTGTCTTTTCCATTATTCCCTATATTACCCCAATATTTATACCCTATAATCCCTAGGTCAAGTGAGGTCATCATAAGTTGCCGGCTTCAGGCCTTTTTATGGGGGTTTCCCAAAATTAGGGGTACCCACTATAATGGAGAATCAAATGGAAAAGAAAATGGAAAATGAAATGGAAACTGGGATTATATAGGGGATTATAGGGTTTGGGGGTTCCCAAAATTAGGGTGACTTTTTTGGGGTCCCTATAATAAGGACTATAGTATTTTGGGGTCTATATTGGGGTCCCCTTATTTTGGGAAACTACCTTATCAGGACGCTACTGCGCGAAGATCAAAGCCTTTACGTCTTGGCGGAGGCAGACGGTTTTTCCTAGGAGGTCCGAAGGGAAAGAGCCTTTGCAAAAAAGCTGGCATCCAGTCCTGCATGTCCCATGCTTTCCATGATGCATTGCTCGTTGCATGCTGCTTTTGTAGGTGGAGTCGGCGAGGTGTGCCCGAGCAAGTATAATCTTATAAAAGGACTCTGACAATGATAATCCTGGTAAACATGGGCAGTCAATCTTCCGAAGCCCCTCAATCTCCCTAAGGTTCCCCAAATGCCTCGCTGCCTTGAACCAACCCCTGGAGGAGCTTGTAAGACAAGGGCCGCCGAAGTGCTGATTGTGACTCCATCAAACCGGAAAGGCCGATCTTTCTCCTCATTCTAGGGACTCGGGATCATGGACCCCTGATGATTGGAACCCCCCTTGTCACTGCCCCAGCACTCAGCCTGGTCTAAACCAGCTTCATCATGCCGTGAGCATGGCCCCTGAACCCTAAACCCAATCCAATTTCATCAGCTCTGAAACATTGTCACGCCAATGCCGGGTAAGGCATGCCTTACACCCTACATGTGCTGTTCCATAAAGCAGCACAGAGGACCTTCCATAAGTTAGAAGTCGAAAGATGTTCACAGGGGTCATACAGGTAGGGTATATAGGGATTCCATAAATTCGAGGGCACTTTCTGGAGTAGCCTGCTGTGGGGGTCTTTGTTGGTGCCCCCTATTTTTGACCCCCGCATCGACTCCTAAATCCGCAAGAAGCCCATCGTCCAACAACCAAGTACACAAACCTGGATAAGAAAACTACAACAATAATCCCTAGAATATAAACCATTATAGTAGATTCCATTTTATTCTCCATCATCCCGATATAACCCCAACATACTATACCCTATACAACCCCTATTTTTCCAACCGGGTATAATCCCTATAGCCCCTATGATCCCTCTAGTTTCCATTTTCCCTTCTCCCAAAAAACTAAACCCTAAACCCTAAACCGTATATAACCCCAATAGAACCATTATGGTAGATTCCATTTTAACATATTCCCATTATAGTAGTGTCCATTTTCTTTTTTCATTATCCCCATGGAGCCTCATCCAGGAGGTGCATGCATTGTCCACCTGACATATCACGGAGCTGAGGGGTGG